CTCAGAATGTTGATATCTCCAGAGATATTCCTCTTTCTTCTTACTTTTATTTTTTGAGAATGTGGGTGAAATATGATATACATGGAGTCAAAATAAGAAGCTGAGGTGCTTAAAGCTGAGTAAAATATAACAGTCTGGTATGGTTTGACTGTGGCCCTACCCAAATCTGAACTTGAATTGTATCTCCCAGAATTCCCACGTTGTGGAAGGGACCCAGCGGGAGGTGACTGAATCATGGTGGCTGGTCTTTTCCGTGCTGTTCTTGTGATAGTGAATAAATCTCGCGAGATCTGATGGGTTTATCAGGGGTTTCTGCTTGTGTTTCTCCCTCATTTTTCTCTTGCCATGGCCATGTAAGACGTGCCTTTCGGGCTGGGCATGGTGGCTCATGTCTGTAATCCCAGCACTTTGGGAGGCCGAGGTGGGTGGATCACTTGAGGTCAGGAGTTCGACACCAGCCTGACCAATATGGTGAAACTCCGTCTCTACTAAAAATGCAAAAATTAGCCGGCCGTGGTGGCAGGCACCTGTAATTCCAGCTACTTGGGAGGCTGAGGTGGGAGAATCGCTTGAACCCAGGAGGCGGAGGTTGCAGTGAGCCGAGATCGCGCCACTGCACTGTAACCCGGGTGACAGAGCGAGAATCCGCGTTAAAAGAAAAAAAAAAAAAAAGTGTGTTTCCCCTCCAGCCATGATTCTGAGGCCTCCCCAGCCATGTGAAACTGTAAGTCCAATTAAGCCTCTTTTTGTTCCTGGTTTCGGGTATGTCTTTATGAGCAGTGTGAAAACGAACTAATGCAACTGTTTCTCAAAAAAAGTGGGTATAGCGCTAATAAAACCCTTATTCATATTCTCTGTTTACATTTCTAGCATATTATTGCGCAACAATAATACTTTTTACATTTTAGAAAATGTAATCTGTAGCGTTCAATATTGTCAAATACAGAAGTTAGGGGAAAAGACAATTGATTTTTGCTTTAAGAGAATTTACAATTAAAAATAAGCATAAGACACAAATTCCCTGCACAGTACTTGCATTAAATCTGTTTTCCGTTTGTATTCACTATTTATCATTGCTAGATGCTTTATAACTTTTACCATCTCAGATAAAAAAACACATTATTTCTAATTTCAGATTAGAAATTATATTTCATTTGATAAACAATAAGATAATATCAGACAAGTATTTTGATTTTAATTGGTTTTTGCTTGACTGGTTAAATTTTTAAAAAATCTGAGATGCTTAAAGTCTAATAGTTCAAATTAGCTTCAAACTTTTTTCAGAAGCAACTGTAGTAAGAATTAACAAGTGTGACAAATCCCATTTAGTCCTTAGAAATCAAATTAATTAAAATGTAATTAGGAGCTAATGTAGGTCTCTTTGACTGAAGTCACCATGAAAATCCATGAATGACATGACTTGGTTATATTTTATTTGTACCTGAAATGATCACTACAGTTTTATCTCAAGGGACCATGCTTATGTGTATTGCAAGTGCACAAACAAAAATTTCATGTTCACCTAAATAGAACTCTATTATATCTCATGCCAGAAAAAACACAGTTTGCATAATAAAGGCTTTTTACTAAAAATACTAACTAGTCTGTGGTGGTGAAACCATAGGAAATTTAATGAAGATGGATGGAACGGAGAAATGGAATTGAGTAATATGGCCCAGCAAATAATTCTGGCCAAGTTGTATACTTTTAAAGATGATTGAATGAGTATAATATTGGAAGCCTTTAGTAAGACCTTAGAAGTCTGAATGGGAACATATTTGTTTCAAAATACTAGCACAATTTTACTATGGACCAATGTGGTAAATCAATTAGGAGAATTGGTATACATCTATATTATCAAGGATGAGAGAAAAATGAGTTAGTAAAAAGAGTGTAAATGTTGAACTAAGGAATAATGCATTGTCATTACCACAAAAGAGATCTTTAAGAGCTCTAAAAGTACAAATGTAAAGTGGCTTTATATTTGGAATGGATAACAGAGAACGATGTGGACAAAATGACTTGTCCTTGTCTGTCTATAGACCTCTGTCTCAACTACATCATCCTAGAACAAGTCACCATATTTCCTGCCTGGACTACTATACATTAGCCTCCTAATTGGTCTCTGCTTCCACTTTCAGTCTTCAATAATCTATTCACACAGCAGCCAGAGTAATCTTTTAAATAAATCAGACCATGTCACTCCTGTGCTTAAAAACCTTTAGTGGCTTCCAGTGCAATAAAATCTAACTTCCCTCAGTGGCTCACAAAGCTCTCTGTGACCTGGTCCCCAGCTATCCCATTGACCCCATAGCCACCACCACTGTTCTTCTGACTCACTATTCTCTAACTACTCAGGCTTTCTTTCTGTTCCTCAAATATGCCTGTCACAGAGCTACTGCATTGGCTATTTCTTTCTCTTTTTAGTCTTTTTTCCTTGCTTCTTGTGATTCAGTCCCATCGAAATGTTACCTCCTTTCAGAGATCTTCCCTGATCACACAGTCAAGTTACCACCGAGCAGTTCTCTATTTAAACCCCCTTTTTTACTCTGCAAACTACTGGTCCCAATAGGATATTTTTATTTACTTGTTTATTTGTTTATTAACTATCTCCTGCAACCAGAATGTAGGGATGAGGGCAAAAACTTTGCATTATTCACGCCATTTTTGTAGCTCATTAAACAGTGCCTCACTTATAACAGTGTCAAATAAATACTTAATGTTCAATAAATGTATTTTTAGGATAGAATGCAATTTGAGATAAAGATACTGAAACATGGCATATATAATAAAAAATAGCAGCCTATGAAAGATAGATTGTTGAATTCCCAGAATTGTTGGAGAACAAATCCCATACCTTTTACCCCCTTTTCTATGTAGCTTCTTCTTTTCACAAGTGTCACAAACAACTGAAAGCCTCATGTTATATCCAGTGTTTCTCTTTGTGCAAATAGTAATCTGATGTTGAATGACCTAAAACCACTATTACCCACAATCATTTTTCTAAGAATATTTGAAGCTCACTTCAAATACACATTCGCAGACACCATAGTGTAAAGGTATCTAACAATATGAACTGTCTTCTCTAAAGGATAGCAAGGAAAATTTATATAACTCCAGAATATCTGATGTTGGCAGATGAAAACCTGGTAGAGTAAAAAGGAAAAGAATTCTATGTTTCTTGTAAATGTAGTCATGGGAGATCCACTGAAGTTATTTTAGCTTCATATTTTCATCTAAAAAACTTTTTATTGATACTTGCCTTGAAGGGATTTTTTTCTGAGGATTAAGGACAAAATGTGATAAGGGCATAGGGCATAGTAGGGACTTCAAAGATGGGGTCTCTTAACATTTTTTCTTCAATTTTCTTGATAATATGTAGCAAAACCTGATTTAGTATTCTTTGTTACAAAGTGGAATTTAGAAAAAGGCAGGAGAATCTTAGACACATTTTATTTCTACTTTACAACTTTTTCAAAACTCTTAAAGTTTTATTTTTAATTGACAAGTAATAATTTTATGTATTTATGGATTATAATGTGATGTTTCAATACGTGTATACAGTGTGGAATGATCAAATCAGGCTACCAAAGTTGTCACCACAAATACTTATTGTTTCTTTGTGGTGAGAATATTTACAGTCCATTCTCTTAGCTATTTTGAAATATGCAATACAATATTATTAACCATAGGTACCAAATTGTATAATAGATCATCTTAACTTATTCCCCTTCTACCTAACTGAAACTTGTACCCTTTGGCTAAGACCTTTTCCCTTTTCTCTCTCTCCCCTCCTCTCCCAACCTCCCAGCCTCTGGAAACCACATTCAACTCTCTACTTCTATGAATTAAAGTTTTTCAGATTCCACACATAGGTGAGATCATGTGGTATTTGTCTGTCCATGCCTGGCTTATTTCACTTACTATGATGTTCTCTAGGCCTATCCACGCTGACAAAAATGACAACATTTCCTGCTAATTAAAGGCTAAATATTAAATGGTATTCATGTGTGTGTGTGTGTGTGTAGGTAGATATAGATATCTATCACATACTTATCACTTTTAAAGAAACGTATTCATTGATAGCACTTCAGTTTTCATATCTTGGCTGTTGTAATAATGCTGTATTGAACATGGGAGTGCAAACATCTCTTTGACATATTGATTTCAATTCCTTTGAATATCTCCCCAGAAACAGAATTGCTGGATCATATGGAATTCTATTTGAACTTTTTTGAGGAAAATCTGTATTGTCTGTCAAATTGGCTGTAGCAATTTATATTCCCACCAACAGTGTGCAAGGGTTCTCTCTTCTCCACATCCTCGCTAGCACTTGCTATCTTTCATCATTTTGATGATAGCCAATTTAAAAGGTATGAGGTGATATCTCTTTGTGGTTTTAATTTGCTTTTCCCTGATGATTAGAGATGTTGAGCATTTTTTCATATAGCTGTTGGCCATTTGTATGTTAGACACACTTTAAAGGAGCATGAGAACTTCAGAATCTCTTAGAGCATGGACAGTGGCAGGTCTCAGCTTCATTCTTTTCAGTGGGGCACTTTTCCAATAAATTGTATCTCAGTATTCTAAAGGAGATCTTTCCATGGTCAGCGCTATAAGGTTGTGCAGTTAATACACTGTGTAAAGGTAACTGGCCAACAGGGTGAGTGAGGCCTGGAATCCAGCTCACACTCTTCTCCTTAGGATCCGGGTTTGCACGAGGCTGCATTTTCTTAATTTGTCTAAAAGCATTCTACAGCCCATACTTGTCCCTTTCAAAGTACATCATTTTCCAAATTATCTTGCATTTGTGGAGCATATAGCTGAATGGCACATAAACTATCTTGTTTATATATTTTTAGATCACTGTCTTTTGTTTGATTGATTTTGTTTGGATTATTTAAATCTAATGGTTTTGTTTCAGCTAAAGAAAATATATTTTAGAACATTTTATATATATATATATATATACTCCTTGTATCAAATAAGTCACTTCTCACCTATGACATGTGATTTTGTTGTGTTTGTTGCTGCTGCTGCTGTTGCTGCTGCTGAATTAGCAATTGCTGCTGCTGCCGACGCCTGGCTGTTCGTAGCTTTTCAAAGCGAGCCTCCATTTCTTCCAGAACTTTTGGGGTGTATCGCACTACCAGCTTGACGCTGTCTTTAGCAGCCTTGAGTAGTTCCACAGCTTTCTCATGGTGTTCTCCTTCCACACTCTGAAAAGACAATGACACTTTCTTAAAGGGAGGAGGTTCAATGTTCTTTTCCCTGAGAGACAAATCTGAAATTAGTATCATATTAAGAACCCCAAATTTAAATTTTTAAGAAAGCATGGCAAATGAGTTATCTTACCATCATCGTTATTATGTATTACACTCTGATTAAACTATAAGCAGGTTAGGCTGCATGGGGTCACAGAATGGACTGCGTGGGGATTCAGGTTATGCGGGTGAAAAGCAATGAAGACCTAAGTTATAATGCTAACATTAGGAATGAAATTTCCAAATTGCATCTGGAAGAGTAAATGCACTAGTCAACAAAATTTTGAAAAAAATTAAAACATAGTAACAAAGAGGAAATTTCTCTATCAGGTATTAAAATTTATTAAGAATCTACAATGATTAAAGTGGTATCTTATTGTGTGTATAAAAGAGATAGTAGAACATAGCACAGAGTCCAAAAGGAGAGTCATCACATGGAAAGTATTATTTATTATAAATGTGGACTTTAGACCAAAGGAGAAAAGGGCTATTAACTAAATTAAATAATACAAAATAATGGAGACCCAGCCGGGCGTGGTGACTCACACCTGTAATCCCAGCATTTTGGGAGGCCGAGGTGGGTGGATCACAAGGTCAAGAGATCGAGACCATCCTGGCTAACACGGTGAAACCCCGTCTCTACTAAAAATACAAAAAATTAGCCAGGCTTGGTGGTGGGCGCCTGTAGTCCCAGCTACTCAGGAGGCTGAGGCAGGAAAATGGCATGAACCCAGGAGGCGGAGCTTGCAGTGAGCCGAGATAGTGCCATTGCGCTCCAGCCCAGGAGACAGAGCAAGACTCCATCTCAAAAAAAAAAATAAAAAAAAAAAATTGATAGCCTATGTAAGATTGTAAGGTTTACAGCCATCTCAAAAAAAAAAAAAAAAAAGGAGACCCAATTTCATACACTATGCTAAATATAACAGATTAATTAAAATTTAAATGTAAAATAAAAACATAAAATAATTAAAATAAAAGAAAGGTGAACACTAATCATTTTTCAATAGAAAGGGAATTCTTAATTTAAAATACCCAGGGAAACATAACCACAAAATCAGATGTACACAGTGTAAGTTTCTGTCTCAAACACTGTAAAAAAAAAAAAAAAAGGGCAAATAAACCAGAAAAACACTTTCAGTATATGACTGTCATATACTTAGTGCAAAAGGGATTTTTTTCTGGTTTATTTGCCCGTTTTTTATTTTTTTGAGACAGAGTTTCACTCTTGTTGGCCAGGCTGGAGTGCAATGGCCTGATCTGGGCTCACAGCCACCTCCGCCTCCTGGGTTCAAGCGATTCTCCTGCCTCAGCCTCCTGAGTAGCTGGGATTAAAGGTGTGCAACACCACGCCTGGCTAATTTTACATTTTTAGTAGAGATGGAGTTTCACCATGTTGGCCAGGCTGGTCTTGAACTCCTGACCTCAAGCGATCCACCTCCCTCAGCCTCTCAAGCTGCTGGGAGACAGGCATGAGCCACCGTGCCCAGCCTGCCCTTCATTCTTCTAACAAATCAATAAAGATCTAAGCAGAATGAGCAGTTGATATGCATGGACAAAAAATAAAAAATAAAAATGGTCGATAGACCTCAGAAAAGATGTTCAGACTCCCTAGTAATCAAAGAAGTATAGACCAACATAAAATACTTCTTTTTTTTTTTTTTTTGAGATGGAGCCTTGCTCTGTCACCTAGGCTGGAGTGCAGTGGCACGATCTTGGCTCACTGCAAGCTCCACCTCCTGGTTTCACGCCATTCTCCTGCCTCAACTTCCCAAATAGCTGGAACTACAGGTGCCTGCCACCATGTGCATCTAATTTTTTCCATTTTTAGTAGAGACGGGGTTTCACCGTGTCAGTCAGGATGGTCTCGATCTCCTGACCTTGTGATCCGCCTGCCTCAGGCTCCCAAAGTGCTGAGATTACAGGCGTGAGTCACTGCGCCTGGCCAATATTTCATTTTTGACTTAAAAATAATAAATATGTATTTTTAAATTTGGTGTACAGACAAGGATGTAGGAAAATTGGACTCAGACTGCTAATAACAAAAAACTGGTAAAATTTTTCTGGAGGGCACTATTGTTATGCATTGAATAACCCCTTATTATAAGTGAATAATTTTATATTCAGAAAAATCTATTCAGGATATAATCAAATATGCACACATACTTGTAAGATAGATATGATAGAAAACAAAAAACAAAATCAATTCTTGGCTTTTGAATTTCAAAACAGTCTTTTGAACATCATGGCATAGACAATACTTGGAGAAACTATGATTCCTCTAAGTAAACACAAAGCTGCTTTTTTCCCAGTCTTCTGAAGAGTCTCCAGGTTGGGATGATGGAGAAGCAAAAAGAAGAAAGTCATAATTAGACTTTATAGGACCCTAAATAAGGAGACCCTGGCTCCTGCGCCTCTGAGCTGATCACCAGGGCAAATGACAGAACCCTTAATTTACAGGATTGAACTGCCAAGGCCTTTTTGCCTTGCTTCTTGGGTAAAGTACAGAGAAAAAAAAAATCACAGTGCAGTGTGATGGATGGAGACTGAGATAAGCTTAAAGAGTGTCAGAACACCTAAGAGTCACACTGAAGAGGCAGAGAGGGCCACCCTCAATTGCTTGACATTACATTTTCACAATCCAAGCAGAAGGGAAACTCAAAATGGACACTAAATTGAGTTACGGAAAAATAAAGGAAGTGAAATCTTAAGCACCCTTGACTTATACCTTCAGATTCGTAATTTCTACTGCAGATTGGGAGACTTAAGGGATCATTTGATCATTGGCTTAGTCACTTAACTAATATGTTTATTGAGCATTTATTCTATGAATTATAGTCTACTACATTTCTTGAGAAAACACATGAAAGGTAAACTTTGACAGCATCGTGCAATATAAACCCTATTTTCCGTATGTTTATAATTTCTTTATAACTGGTCCCACGATGATTTGTTAATGCATAGAATTTTCCTTTGAAAGGAGAACTTGGTGATTGGGTCGTCTATCTACCCTTCTCTAATTTCTTTTTTAATATTAAAACTTACATGTTTTTATGTTTTAATAATAATGGTTCACCCATTTTCTAGGCCAGATCATCAATCTGTAGACTTCTTTGTGGCTTTTGTTCTATTTGCTTTTATTTAATAGGGTTGAGATTCTAGGTCAGACCTTTAGAGGCCCATTATCTCTGTTTTGGCACTGTGTCTGCAATTCAGTTGCCACAGGAGAGCTGTGGTACTAATGTGTGTGGGCCATTAGGCCCTCACTGCAGTGGTGAGGAGTTGAGAGAAACATGGCTGGCTGGTGTACCACATACCAGGCCCTGCAAAACCATCAAGGTTATCCTCTTCCAGTCCCTGCTCTGCCCTCTCCCACACAGTTAACAATGTATCAAAAGTGGACCCCACAGTTGCCAATTCCAGAAATTTTGCCTTCATGCTTTATCTTCAGTTTAGACAAGGACTCAGATTCTCTTTAAGGCTCAGCAGAGTCAACAGGTCTCTTGGTTTGGTTCTACTGTCTTTCCCACCAGGATACAGAGTCACTGTGAGAGATCTGGGCAGTGTCACAGTTCCTTACTTGTACTACTGAAATGCTTTACTAACATCCCACAAATTATATCATTAAGCAGCTAAGAAGTGAGCTTTAGAAAGAGATTAAGAAATATAAGCATGCTTCAAAAATTTTTATTTCAAACACTCCTCAACTTTGCTTTTTAGTTGTTTTCAGAAGGATAAATTGTCTTAAGGATTATTTTTGTGGCCTTTTTTCCCCCACTAGCTTTGCCTACTTTGTAAATACTTTTGAGTGCATATGCTTGTCTCCTTAACTTATTATTTATCTCTGGAGTGCTTTCAGTCCGTCGGTATAACTTTGTAAGAAGGATAAGGCAATTTTCTATTCTTCCTTCTTTCCCTTTTAAGGTAAAAACAAGAAATCAAACCATCTTGTTACAGAAGTCTTGTTGCATGAATAAAAAGAAGCCAAAAGATCTACTCAGCTAGTGTATAAATGTTGATGTGCAAGCCCTTCACAAGTATTCCTTGAGCCCTGAAGGTTTAGCATCTATTCTTGCTTTTGACTTAGTGTATGTCTCACTCTTAATGAAAATATGCATCATTTCTAGCTAAATATTTAAGACATACTTTGAAATGTGATAGATTATTTATAAACAGTTAAGCTGTTTTTATCAAAGCTGTATATACAAGCACTCCTGATTTGGAGGTGTCTTTTATAACAACCAGTGTAAGTTTGAGCAATCACTGAAAACTTGTAGCACTAGCTTTCTACATAGGCTGAGAAGGTGGTTCTTATATGACTTAAGAGCTCTAAAAATACTTCTTATTTTAAAGTGAAACCCCCTCTTCCATTTAAAACCTGAAATTCTATATTTTTAAGTTTTATTCCCTTGCTTTAAGAGTTTTGTTGTACCTACTGCATTAGCATAAATTAATTTAACAAGTTCTTGCAATGGACATCTGGTAAAATTGGATTTTATTAAGAAGGTGAGGAGTGATGAGAACAGCCTGAGGGTATAGTAGGTTCCCAGGAAATATTTTGACCAAAGAAAAGTATAGCCTAAAACATAAAAACTCCTAAAAAGAAACGTTACCTACCCCACAATTGTGCCTAGGCTGGCCATGAGCATACATGAAATGAATTAAAATTAAAATGCACTATGAAGACTGAACATTACCATCCTGAAAATGCTTCTATCTTTAGCTGATAAGTCTTTTAACAATAAACATAAAAATTAATATGAGGTCAGGCACAGTGACTCATGCCTGTAATCCCAGCCATTTGGGAGGTTGAGGCAGGAGGATTGTTTGAGCCCAGGGGTTCAAGACCAACCTGAGCAACATGGCAAGACCCCATCTCTAAAAAAAATTTTTTTTTTTTTAAATAGCTGGGGAGAGTGACATGTGCCTGTGGTCCCAACTACTTGGGATGCTGAACC